TGTAAATACTATTTTTTATATGTTTTTAGATAGTAAACAAATGCTGATACCTAACCTCTCAATCAGCTCACTTTTTTTTCCTTTTTGCGGACGCCCATGACGTTTTAACCACCTTTTTAATTGTTCACAATTAAGAGCCTCAACTGAATCATAAACAAGAAAAGTACCATCAATGATTTTTTTCCAATAACTTATTAGTTTGTAGAGATAATATTCCTTGCCCAGTCATTGTTGATTAAAACAGTACGAGTGTTTTGAATTACCGCCATTTCAATATGCAAAAATGTATTTTTTCAGTGGTCGACGTTACGAAAAATAATCTTTTTCCGTTTTCGAAACCCAAAAGTCACTAGGAAACTTTCGCCTCAATTGTGAAAAGCTGTGTTTTATTCGACTTTGTCCGAGGAAGCTACAAGCTCTTTGTTATATTTCAAGCTTTCGGACAACTACAACTAATAACTACTAAACTACAACTACAACTAATAAGATTTTACATCTTGTGAAAATATAAATATGGAGAATTAATTTTTATTTCCTCGTTCGTTATCAGTTCTATAAGTTATTCCAGCTGGGGCAATCCTGCTGTGTTAACATTTAAAAAAGGATCCAACACCCAGTCCGGTATTTCTAATTTTGAAATGTCCTGGAATAGTTCTGCGAAATCACTATGGAGGTTCTCCAAATGTTGGCAGTAAACAAGCAAGTCGTCGTAGTTGAACCATACTGCTGACAAATTAGGGAAACTGCGAAACTCACGTCTGCCGATATTATTCTTGTATAAGAGTAATTTGGCTACAAAAGCAGCAATGACATTTTTTGTTTTGATCAAATTCAAGTCGTCACCTTTAAGTTGGAGATTTACATTACACATTAAATAATGTGTATGCAGGTCTGTCAAGTACGCAATATCATTCTTTGAAGTGATGAGGTTGTCGTGCAATTCTTTGTCTTTGTATTTCAAGAACTCTATTACAGAGTCAAATAGATTGTAAAATCGAGTCACACAGTTACCTCTTGATAACCAACGCACTTCTGTGTGAAATACCAATCGGTTGAAATCTTCATCATCAGCAACACAAAGCTGATTAAATAATCTGTCATTTAAAAAGCTGTTTCGGATTTTATTGTATGCTTTGATGATAAAGGTATTGCAGTGATTGAGATAGGCGCTCACTCAAATTTTTCGCAACCAAATGTTGCCTATGAATGAGGCGAAGTACAGTGAGCACATCTGGAATTTTATTTTTTAAGTACGCTATGAAGCCTTTGTGACGTCCTGAGATAGCTGGAGCGCCATCCGTAGCAGCTGATATGATATTCTTCAGTGGAATTTCTTTCTCATCACAAAATTTTTCCAGTGTATTATATATGGTTTCTCCTTTTGTATCCGTCTCTAAATTTTTGGCAAATAGTAGTTCTTGATATATTTTCTCATTTCAAATAAACCTCACGTATGACAACAACAATGCTTCATTGGTTGGTAAAATGGTCTCATCTAACTATTGAGAATTTAGAAGTCTTCAGATGATTGCACAATGACTCTTCAATGTTTTCAGCCATCTCATCAATTTGTCTTTGCACGGAACTATTGTTCAAAGGAATTTTTCGGATATCTGCCGCTGGTTTATGGAGCACAGTAGTTATTACTTCTTTTATTGTCGGTAAAATTAAATCCTCTCTAATAGTGTGAGGTTTACCTGTTTGAGCAATTAGCAAAGAGATATTCTAGAAAACATATTTTATATATTCCGCGCTATACTGGCGTTTCTTCTTTTCTGCTTCCGGCATAATATTGTCTTCAAAAATGCCAATGACGCCACTTACAGTGTTCACCACCGCACGTAGAGCACTTTACCTAGCTAGTCGCTAACTAAATTCACTTGTTTTCGTAAGATCGTCCAATGACATTAGTGACTGGATGACGCGTGCGCTTTTATATGAGGCAGCGGGCGGGCCTAGTACTTTCGAGAATAGAGACTGGAAACTTCTCGCTTCGCGTTGAAGGTCACCACCATCTATTGTACAGTTTGACAACTATCGGACAGGAAATAGTTACTGTCTAGTCCCCTAGATGGCGTTACACGAGGAAACTTGCGTTAAGCGTAAAGAAGCGGTAAAGTTTGTGTTAAAAGCAAAAAAAAACATTTTCAAATCAGCCATCGCCCTAAACCGTTTCAACGCCCCCCAATCTTCTCTGTACCCTTTACTACCCCCTATAGACCTCCAGCGCCCACGAAGAGGCATTATCGCCCACTTTGAGAGAGACTATTCTGGATTCTAGACTATCATGGTTGCAAATGATGTTCGTGTCTCTAATCAGGCGGATGGCTCACACCAAGCTCCACATTTCAGATCGATGAAAAAGAATCACCCTGTGAAATTCTTCTCTATCAAACGAACTGAAATGTATCTTGAACAACATTTCCTTTTCGGAAAGTGTCCGTTGAAAAATAGTCGCAGTTTGTCATAATATTAGTCGAAAAAATTCTGCAACTGTAATTTTTTGACATTATCTGAGGTCTTCAGTTTAAATCACGTTCGATCATAACCATCCAGATGCAATATTAAAAGTTTTTCTTAAAAAATGAAAGAGGCTTAAAAGCATATAATTAAAGAATCCATTTCTGTTGAAACCGATATTGACCGGAAAGTCAGAAATATTACACATCTCTCGTCTTCACAAACCATTCACCTATATCAAATCTCATTTTGACATACCCAATATTCCAGAAGTTATGGCTTGTCTAATAGATTCGGTACATATAGCTCGTATTACCTCATCAAATCCCTCAAGAATAAATTAGATACTAAAGCACTGATATCAGTTTATTTCGACAAGTTTCAGTCAATTATTCACAACATTGCTGTCTGAGGTTTAGCATAGCAACTGAGGTGGACAGAATTTTCATAAAACAGAAAGCATTACCGAGGCTAATTTTCAATGTAGATTACAGAACGTCATGTAGAGAGATTTCTCCTCAAAATAAAATACTAACATTGACGTATATACATGAAAATAGAAGACAACTAGAGTCGAGATCAGAAGTCCATAATTATCATAATAGGAACAACCATGTGCTCATCACCTAAAAACACTATCATGCAAAGTATAAAAAGTCTCCTATGTTTGCT